CTCTATAAGCTGTCCATAAAGTGAAATATAAATCATATTTCCCAAATCAAAATTGGGTAATAATAATTGTTTCCTAACATAATGTAAGCCCTCACAGGCATTTTTTTCCCCAAAATTTTCAGTAATTTTTTATAATATAGTAAAAAATAAAACCCTCAAGTGGTGATGAAATACCACCAAAAGGAAGCTCTATCTGTCCCCAAATTTTTATCTATGATATTCACGGTTAGTTTTTGGTTATTGTGCCTTTTACTGTGATTTATTCACTTCGTGTTTTTTTTATTTAAAAATGTCTAATAACTGGAGCATCCTAATTTTTATATCCAGTTTAAAAGGTGTATTATAGTTCACTAATAAGGTTTTTGACTCACCTACTTTTTCTATAAGTATGACTGCACGTCATTCAGTTAATACAATCCAAGGGGGATTTAGCGCCGCATTTTTATTGTGATCACTTTTAGGACCTACTGTCTTGATTGTGGCAGCTTTATTTTCACATACTATTAATCAACCATCCACTAGCACAAATCAACATCTTTTCATTCTCCAGAACTGTGTACCATGTTACATACTGTAGTACATAATGTGATACATCAGCTACCAATAACTGTCTTCCCTATAGCAAGGGAAACTCCATACCAAATACATTTTTCTGTACATGGGAATTCACACTTACAATTGTTTAATGTAAATAGCTAGATACAGGGGTCACTAATGGGATAGATACAGGGGTCACTAATGGCCATGAATGTAAGCAAGAAAACCGCTCTGATCTACAGCAGCTCAATTGTAAGGGAACCCACAGATATAATTGCATGATCATCCATGTGCAATGATTGTAGAACATACACAATTTTTCTAACCAAGCATGTTAAAGCCCTGTGTAGACACCCCTAGTGCTAACCTTAGATTAGGAAACAATGGTGAACCATTTAAAAAAAAAAACAGTCAGCCCAGTGGAGTCTTTAGTGATTAGACGGAGGGGGTCTCAAACCTCCGGCCCAAAGCTGTGGTGAAACTACAAATCAATGATGCATCTCTCTTCGGGAGTTGTGGCTGTGAGAATCTTGCAATGCCTCATGGGATTTGTAGTTCCACCACAGCTGGAGGGCCAGAGGTTTGAGTCCCCTGGATTAGAGGTTAAACCATTATCAGACATACTGAATAATGGTGATGCTTTGTCTGTGGCTACAGATGGCAAACTGTTATAAATATGAAATACATGTGGCAAACGCATTTTTAGCCAGGTCTATATATCGGAATTAAAATCAACTTGTAAATTACACAATTACTTTTGGCAGAATTACTAAAAAAAAAAAACACACAAATACAGTATCTTGAAATCCAAATTGCTGAGAATTCAGCAATACCTCGAAGTGACAAATTTACTCTTTCAATGCAGTGCAAGACGGCCAGCCATCCAATACATATCTATTTAGTATACAAAGTTGAGGGACGGAGTAATGACAAATGAAAGCTGCAAATCTCAAGGATACTCGACTCAATTTAAGCATCTTGCATATAAGAGCCATAAAATATGCTTCAATATTCCAGTAAAGCCTTTCCATCTTCAGTGAGCTTTAGTTGCTTCCAACTTGCTTGTCTCAACATGTGAAAACCAATAATTGCCTATGGGCATGGTTCCCACCTGGGCGGTTTACAGCGCTTAGGAACGCACTATAAAACACCCTACGCCCAAAGAAGTACAGGAGCTTCTTTGGGGCGTATTGTATCCATTAGGATACAGCCAAATAGCCCTCGGAAACGCGCATTTCTTTTACCGCAAACACGCATATTCCGTACGCCCAGGTGTGAACCAAGCCTTAAGTGTAGATGGAGGAATCTGTTGCACTTTTTCCATCTGACCACAGAAAATCTGCAGATAATTGTAAGGTGTATGGCCAGCTTAAGACAGGGTATTAAGGCAGGATGGTTTTGCACTGTAATAGAAGCCAAAAATTTACCAAAACCAATTAAATTAACGAACCTCTTTTCAGGGTTTGTTACCCCAATATGTATTTCCAAAAGTAGCACTTGTAACCCCCAGACCAGTTCACACCAGAACTGCATGCATCTTGCGGCTTTTTTTAAAGCTTAAAATTGGCTTTTGGGTGCACTCAAGTGCATTTTGAGGTGTTCTTTTACATGCAGGTGCAGCTAAAATATGGCAAGCAGGATTTTCTTTTTTACTGACTGGTGTTAACAGAGCACCAGAAATCAAATTGGAAAGCATTGTGATGCAGCTGCCAAACTGAACAGACTGTATCACAACTGCCTCTGGTGTGAACTAGCCCAAAGTCCTATCTACCGCACACTGCAAAGGTTTTGGCAAAAGAGAACACCCACAATTGTCTGGCAGAGAAGCCTGTAGTAATGGTGCTGTACCAACGGTCCTGCCTTTCATGACACAGGAATTATGTCCTATATAAAAAGCACAGAGGTGCTGTGGTAGGTCTGGGACTTAAACTCTATTTTCTAGAGAGTTACAGCTACACATTTTATAAGCATGCAATCTTGTGTGTACACGGTTAGCCTTCACGTTGTGGTATATCACAAACTTGGAATTGTTGCCGCTATTTGTGCTTGCTTTATGTGAAGGTAACCGACTAGGACATTATTCATGATGTGGTATTCTAGTTACAGTAAATACATCTCACTTCCTTGATTTAAAATATTTCCCCTTACAGGAAATAAAATTTTGCTGAACAGCAGGGGAAAGTAAACGGTAGTTACTGGTTCTGTCAAAATTGTAAATCATATGTTCCATGCCTATATGATGAGACTTTGTTCTCATATGTAGTACATTAAAAGGGGAAAAACCTTTTAAACTCACATTGTAGTGGTCATGAAAATGGATGCAAGGAAGTGATGCTTTATATGGGTAAGAACAGTCTTCCACATCAAGGTAACCCCTTAGTTGCCATCAACATTAAAAAGAGAAAGAAAAACTGGTTGCATATTGCTCACTTTGATTTCCGAGTGTAGTTACACTGTTACTTTATGCTAATGTTTGCAGCTTCACACAATGGCAAACTGCCTTGAAAATCTGTAGGGATTGTTCTTGAATATAAGATTGTCTGCACACCATTCAGCTTCAGAGATGAGTCTGACATTCTTGTAGTATACTAAATGGGCAATGTTTTGGAATTGCACAGGGTACCTTAGTCAGGCAAACTGTTGAAGGCAGCCTGCGCAGTTCTAAAACAACGGTGTGCAGAGTTTTAAGCTGTGGTGCCATCCACTACCCTAAAATCTTGGAAGGGGCATTTTGGTATGGTGTGCAGTGGAGACCACCAATATGGGTATTAGATATGCCACATCTGGCATTCTTTCCACAAACCTATACATTTCAGGCCCTTGGCATACAGGACCAGGATCACTTCAGTAAAGCAAGGGGATCTGCAATTTATTTATTTGAACCCCAGCAATTAAGGGTGGATGGTTAGAAGAGAAAAACTCCTATATTAGAGTCTGAAGTCTTAATTTGCTCCCACAAATTTTGGGCGTTTTCAGCCCAACAGGAAATGGAGAGCATTTCTGGAAGATACAAAAATAAAAAAATATGTACTTGCAGGGCCTTTAACCGTCTGCCCGTTAAGAAAAACCTGATGGCAGACTCGCATCAGCGGGTTACCGTCTCCAGACAGCATTTTTTTCCTGCTCACGCAGGAAAGACCGCTTGTTTTTACAGCCGTTAACGGCTGTTTCACATACAACCGATCAGCGGCTCTATAGCCGCTGATCAGTTGTATGGCGTGATTGTCTGCCGACCCCTCACCTTCAATCCCGGGATCCGCTACCCCATTTGCAGCCTGGGACCGGCTCTGGAGGGCGATCAGCTCCTTGTTGACCTCCCTCTGTGCTGTGAATGCAGAAGTGATGTGTATTACATCACTTCCGCATTCTCCTGTCAGTCATCTGGCTGTTGTAAAAAGAATAAGTCAAAAAAGTACAACAACGCCCCCCCAAAATGTTTAAGTCCACCCCTACATTTACATAAACGTGCGTCAGATGTGTCAGCGCGCGAAAACGACAATTGCGCTACACGTTACATATCACCACGAACGTCGGAGTGAGAGCAATCATTTTAGGGCCATCAATCACTGATAACACTAAAGTGATGAGCGGTAAAAGCTTTTAAAGCGTCGCCGATGGCCAATTTCATGTAATGCCGTTTTGAGGTTTCGCGCACGTGCGCAATTTTAAGGCTTGACATGTTTGTTGTCTTTACACGACTAGACCCAATCTTTTATATTTTATCAAAAAATTGGGTAATAAAAAGGTTTTAGAATTTAATATAGGGGGAAAGAGTTTTTTTAATTCTGTATATTTTTCTTAATATAGTAAAAAATAAGAACCCGCAGTGGTGATTAACCACCACCAAAAGAAAGCTCTATCTGTCCCCAAAAAAGGGTATAAAATTCATTTCAGTACAGCGCTGCATGACGGAATAAACGTCAAAGTACCGCAGCGCTGAATACTGAAAAATGGCCTGCATGGGAAGGGGGTTTAACACCGCAGACTTCAAGTGGTTAAAGTAAAAAAACTGCATCTGACATTTGCTGCAGGCCCCCCCTCCCATAGATACCAAAAGTCTCAATAGTTTAAGCAGGAAGATAAACTGCTTGCAAAACCCAATCATTTGGTTCAGTAGTTACAGTTGGATGGCCTAGATTAGTTTACGAGCCTAATGGTCAGTACAGTAACCCCCCCCAGACACACATACAAGAGTTATGTGCACTGCTGATATTTAGCAATTAGCTCTTCCAATTGTACATTCAAAACTGCAGCAAATCTTTATTTTTCTAAACTTTACTGCTTGCATTTAGCTTTAAAGTCCATATATCCAGGGGTGCTGCCCTCACAAGAATACTAGTTGTGTGGACACAGTATTGCCAGGTGTACTGCAGCCAGAAGACCAGTGTTATAGCCAGACAATGTACATATAGGGCATTTTATCAGCCAAACCATACTGACCTACAAATCACGATGTGCTTTGGAGTAAAACAGGTTTTATTTTTTTATAAAAAAACATAAAACACTAAAACATTAAAACACTAACAATCCAGCTTAGATGTGAGGTCACCCAGAGTAGTTGTGATCTTGTAGCATTTAGTTTGATTAAAACAAATATAAAATCTTCAGGTTCCCAGCAAATAAATGTCTTTGAAAAAAATTAAACTAAAGGATAACTGGCAGCTGTAGCAATGCCACAATGATTCTTCTTGTCTTTGGCGATATAGATGTATCCATTGTTTCCCCATTTCTCACTCCAGCTAGAGGAAAGAAAGGGGAAAAAAAAAGAAATTTCATTAAATTGCAAAGAGTTGCTTATGTATTCCAAAAGAAAGGCATGTACATTTCTTGCTGCCTCAACTTCAGTTGCATGCTTGAGCTAAAACGTCACAAGTAGAAGCCTGTAATGTATTTCTTCATCACAGCCATCCTTTAAGTGAATCTAAAGCCAAAGTTAACTCTTGAAGCTTACTCATCCTTGGATGAGGTGTTTGCAATAGTATTGCATTTTGTATCTTTGCTCATCTCCCCTACATTGGGGCTAATGGGATTAGTAGAACACACAATGAGCTGGTTTGGGCTCTAAAGCACACTGCAATGCCATCACACATCCCCAAGCTACAACAAGCATGTATGCATCAGATGTTGGAACAGGCATGAGATTAACCAAGGAGTAAGGTTCCAAAACCCACATGCAAAAGCCATCTATAAAAATCATTTCACCCAACCCAAGATTTAAACTGTCAACATACCTGTTTTTAACAATCCAATACTTCTTGCCGTCAACATCCTCACCGTCAAATCCATAGCCAACAACCAAAACACCATGGTCCAAATCTGTACTGCTGCATTCTGGTTCATAGTAAATTCCTGCAAGTAGTGTTCTATTAGTACATGCAGTTCTGAAGAGGAAAAAAAAAAAAGCCAAGATTGGTGGAAATATACATACCCTGTTGATAGAACTGGAATGACTGATGTCCAGCATCAATGGCTACTGAGACTGGACCAACTGATGCCACAGCTTTCATGAGAGCCTTCTCATCCCCAGATTGGACATCCATGAAACCGGTGTCATTGGCAGCCAAGTTGTCTGGGTTGTATTTGCACTCTTGATCATCCTATAAGACAAGTCATGAAGATTTGTATCCTTAACAATTACAACTGCCACATGATTTAGGCATCCATTAAAATGCAAGAAAAAAAAACAAACAGGTAATTAACCATATTTATAGAGGGCCGTCAGTTGGCAACCTTTCAGAGGTAACTAAAGAATAGCATATCAAATTGTGAAGGTTACATAAACTGGAATCATTTACTGCCCTATGTTCTATACCATCTGTAAATTATGCCTTGCAGTGAATCTCAGCCACCCATATTAATAGCTTCTGAGAAACTCTCCTACAGAGCAATGTAGTCAGCATTTTAGCCAGCCATAGGTTGGCATTAAAAGGTTTTAACAGTTGGTACAGACCAAGCAAAGAGCATAGCCTGCATATACTAAGGGCTGGAGGAAGTGTATTGCACCCAAACTCCACTGATCGAAGTTGCAATACAAAAAATAAAATAAAAATGCACCTTAGGTTATTAATGCAGGTGTGTTTTTTGGCAAGGCCATTAGTTTAGAGTGAGCCATGCAGCCAACTTTGCCAGGAGGTCAGTAATAGTAGCAGACAAGCATTCCTTAAGTATAGATTCTTTAAATCATAAAGACATAGAAATAAGGTTGTAACGAAGCATGCATTTACATTGGGTCAGTAACCTCAAATCATTTGTTTTTAAAAGATTGATATTAACTAGCTTCCAGGTCATCTCAATTGCCAAGGGGACCCATTAGGAGAGCTTAACTCTCCCTACTGGGATATTTCATATAACGAAAGCAGCAACTACTTTATCTCCAAGGTAAACCAGTTCTGATGAAAACTAAACCCAAGCCAGTACACTACCTATAACATTACTTTTGGGTGGACTGGTCCCCCAAGCAGATTAGTTTACAAAATAAACCAGGCTTCAGCAAACCCCAAACTTCCATGATGCATTTAGTCCCATCCTATAAAAAAAGTGTTCTTACCTTGGCAAGGTATGGATAGGACTCTTCAGAATCTATGCCTTTATTGTCAAGAATATATTGGAAAGCTTGATCCATCAGCCCTCCATTGCAACCCTCATTGCCTTCTGGTCTAGAGCAGTCCACAAGATTTTGCTCACTTAGTGACACCAGCTTCCCACTTATCCTGAAGTGTTGGCCTTCCATAGCACCAGTGGAACTGAAAGCCCAGCATGAACCACACTGACCCTGTAAAGAAATTAAAGGAGCAATGAGAAACAGCTTACAGCATCAACTATAGGTCCTTTAAATTAAGCCAAACCCATTTAAACTCTGCAGGCAGTTTTATTCCGCCATGTACAAATCAGATTCAGTTAATACCTGATCTTTCACTGGAGTTACATAGCCTTCTTTACGCCAGTCAACCGTTTTTGGAGCCTCAAAGTTATTTGGTGGCAGGAATGTTGCTCCTCGTGTCTTATTGGGTTTATGCTTGTATCCATTCATTAGCTGTTTGAATTCTTCTGTGGTCTAGAATGAAGAGATGTTCATGCATTACATTCTGTATCCCAAGTACAAATATTATTCTTGCATTCTGAAGTTACCCAAAACCCATGTTCTGGAACACATGCTTTACTTTTGAATATCTAGATGCATTATAAAAACACGATATGCACTTAGCTCAAAAGGAACCAACATGTGTCATGACATCCAGGATCTTAAACGAAACAAGACTAAACCCATCCATGTTCACATTGCACCATGTTTCATGTACACATTTAAAGCTTCCCCATGTATAGAAGTTGTCTGGACAAAATTGCCTTGTATATAAAGATCGGAGATTTCAGACAACTAAAGCTAGGTACTGTCTGCACCAACAGTCTAATTCATGTGTGCAGGAAAGTTTGCAGGGTTTACATGCTGGAAACCCACTTGACACTGTAGCCATAAGCAAAACCCCTTTCAGGTTCTCTTTGCCATCCATCTTCAGGAAAATCTACGTTTGTACTGTTGACTACAGTTACAAGAAAGCAAGGGAAATCCTAAACTTCAGCACTGTACCCAGAACAAAGTAGAGAAAAATGTTCAAGGGGACAAGTGTAATTTAAAAAAAAAAGAATTTCCCCTCACTTGAAGATTTTCTCCCAACTTCTTGTTGCATCTCTTGGACAGCAAGTGAAGGGAATTTCCTCCTCAAATGGTAGACTGCAAAATAACTAGCGATTTTAACCATGCCGTACAACACAGCCAGAGTTTTGGCTACACATACACCAACCCACAATTCACCCATACTTTGACATCTTGCATCATGCGCAAAAGTCCAGACTTGTTTAGAAAGCCTTCTAAGAAATGGCTGCAGTAATTATGCAATAGCAGGGAGGGGGGAACAAAGCAGCCAAAGTTGACTGCAGCATATTTTAGTCCCTGGCAACCAGCCACAGGCTGTTCTGAGCATGACCATTTTGTCATGCACACAAGATATGCACTCTGGTCTGACACTTGCTTGCAAGCCTATAGCGCCCAAGCCCCCCTCCTTCCCCACACATTTTCTAATTGCATAGAGGATGCCTGTTAAAAATGGCAGAACAATTTGGTCATCAGCCAATTCAAGTACAATACTTAAACTGCTCTTAATGTGTAAATTAATTGTTGCTCACAGGTTATGTACTTACCATGTCCCCAAAATGGTTCATTGCAAGGGTGTAGGTGTGCTTTCCCGCTGAATGTTCCATGTTGTGTTTCATGATGTTCCTAAAGTTATCTTCAAATATTAACCTCCTCCACGTAGTTTCATCCTAAGAAATATTTAGCCATTTTAAAGATAGATTTAGCTAGCCCAAAATTCACACATGTACACACCCAATGTCACTCTAGCCAAAAAATGTTTGCCATTTGTCATAAGTCCAGATTACCAACCCCCTCAAGCCCAGGACAGGAAGTGCAGACAGCAATAAAACTGTTTAAGTGCAATGCCACGTCTACAGCTCTAGTGGGATAACATCCATTTTACAATTGTTACATGTGCTCAGTCCCATAATCTAAGTTATGATTGCTGCTTGCACAAAACATGTCCAATTCTGCAAGAAGGTGAAAGTAGTCACTCGCACTCCATGAGATTAAAGTCAATGCCGTTTACTGACTGAGATAAACACACATCTCCTTAGCCATTGCTAAGGAGATGGTGTTCAGTCAATAACAGCATTGACTTTAATCTCATGGGGTGCGAGTGACTTTCATCTATCCGTTGCTACCACCGCACCCAACCAGTTGGATTTGGGTTTTTGTCCGGTCAGGAGTGCGATGGGACAGGAGGATTAACTTAATTCTGCAAGAAGGTTCTCTTTACTGGATTGCTCTTGAAAAAAAAAGGTAATGTTAACAATAAACCCTTTCTGTGCTGTCAGATCAGTTATACATTAGATTTCAACAATCTTTTAAAGGGTTTAAGATCCAGAAGCATTGTATGTTAATGTCTGTCTTTAGTCTATTAGGATAGTGTATTAAGTGGAAAGCTACACTATAAAGTTTTTTTTCTCCTCAATGGCACATGGAGGCCTAGTAATACTACAAATGTTACAATAAGACAAAATACTCAGGCTTTGTTACCAGAGGGTTGTTTACTTGCAATGCTAGCCAGACTAGACAACACCCACCACAGGCAACTTATGTAAAGAGGTGCTGTCGCCTGACCGTACTTTGCTATAGCCAAATTTTTACCTACATTTTTCACCTTTGTGAAAGCTAGTACACAATGCTACATTGTATACTTTTGTGCTTAAAACAGATGCAAGTGGATACACAAGTATGAATAAAGTTATTTGGTACCGTTGACCAAATCTCATGCATTTAGAAAGACTTTTTACAGGCAGTTGAGCAGAGATCAGGAGAAAGAGTGGGCGTAATGGACTATATAGGAGCGGGGTGAAGAACCAGTGGCATGTTTAAATCATGGTATTCAAGCCATAGCCTTAAAAAGCATAGTAAACTTAAATAGCTAGAAGAGCAGTATTCTTGGGAGCTTTTGAAGCACGTCCAATAGAAAGACTCATGGTGACGTTTGCCATGTTGATCACCTGAAAACAGAATAAGGTCTTCCTCAACATTAACTGCTTTCGCCACAAACCAAAGAACTGAGGGTAGGGTGGATTTCCACAGGCAATATATACCAAACAGAAGCCAACATTTGCCTGTCTAAAACCTGGACTGGCATCAGCTACAACATCGTATGGGAATTGTTTAGACTAAAGCTACAGTAATAAACTGCAGTTTATGGAAGTGTATTGAAAACATTGAGCTTTAAGAGCCACATGAGAAATGGGTTTAGCGTTTATGGCAACATAGGAAACTTACCTTTTCATATTTTTTTCCATAATATACTGTAAACAAGTTCCATGTTTCATCTAAGGCTGGGTCATGCACAGGAACAGCGAAGACAGTTGTTAAACACAGGGCTGCTACAAGTAGAAACATGATTTCTAATCTGCAGGTAAAAAAATATGAATTAAAAAACAGGCAAATACAAAAAAAACAATCATGGTTCCAAATAAGAAAACGGGCCTTCTGTAGAGTTTAAGAAAAAAAAAAAAATAAGTGTGACCTACTCCAGCGGCAGAAGACACCAAGTCAAGCCACTGGCACATACCAAGTAAACTTAAGATACAAAATTATTTACCATTTAAACCATGTGACAAGCAAGACATTTAATAAAGTTCACTAAAAGCCTTAGGCTCTGTTAACACCTAGGCGTATCGAATATGCGCGTTTGTCACGCGTTTCGGGACACGTTTTTACCGCGATTCACGCTGTATCCTACTTGGCTGTATCCCAATGGAAATGCACAACAAAAAACACTGCAAAGAAGCTCATGTACAACACCAAGACAATCAACTCCCAGTTGGCCCTCTAATGAAGTTCCAGCATCACACAGGAAAGATCTGTTCTTACTTCAAGATAAAATCTCATACAGGATACATTGGAGGTATCCAGTTTGCTTTAGGGCCCATTCACACCATGTCTGCATCATCTCCAGACCACACCAGATTGTTTCCAGACCTAAAACACATCCTAACGTACCCCTATGCCATTTCTGGCCTCTATTCACACCAGCACAGTCTGTTCCAAACCAGTACTGGTGGTCCTATTTTGTCTGATCTGGGCAGGAACACATACAAATGCACCTGTAATAAAATTAAGCAAAATTTAAAAAAAAAAAATTCCAAATGCAGCAAAATTGCAATGCACTGCGTTCCAGAAAATGGTGTGAACCTGCCCTTAAAAGGGAGGCCTTTGCCTTTTAAACACACTGCTGAGTCATGTTAAGCACCCACCCCCTCTATTGTCTGGAATCTCTTTGCTTTCAGCTTCAAGAGGCAGAGAACACTGTATAAACAGCTCTACTTAGGATTTAACTAGTTGGGGCTGGAGCAGTGCAACCCCCCCCCCCCCCTCAAGAGGGAGAGGAAAACCAGCAGCTGACAGTGTACACAAACTGCATGACCACCAAACAAAGCAAAAATCACTCTAGCTGAAGTGTAAAACTTTTAAAGGTGTAAATCACAACCTGGTTTTTGAAGATGGCATGAGAGAGTGTTTTGTACATGTAATTTTATTCTGCCAATTTAAAAACTCTGGGCTATTACAAATTTAACACCCAAACAATGGTGCCAGCTGGCTTATTTTAGCTCCCTAGACAAAATGAGCAATTAACCCTTGCAGTGTAGGGGGTTGCCCCACCACAAGGTTTAAGATTTTATTTACCTTGAGTTCTTTAAAATATGGGGTTGACGGGTCATTAACCCATACCATTAAAATGCAACTGAAGTCAAAACTCTAGTTTAAGATAGGATGCATAGGGAGGGATTAGAACACCCATCAGGTTCTTATTGCCATCTGCATCCCCCTTAAGGAGAGCCACCCTCTCCATCTGTTCTTGTGACTGGCATCACTGAAAAATCCCAAGTTTCTGGTCATCAGAACAGGACTAGATTGAAAAATCTTCCAATGGGAAACCTAGTTGCGACCCTGCTGACCATCAGGGATTTCTTGCTCTTTGGAAAGCTTTTTTTCTCAGCGCCCATTGTGGCTGACAGGAAGTGAAGGGAAACCTCCCCAAAATGGACACAGATGGCAAAAAGCCGACGGGGCTTATAACCCTCCTTTACTCTATACAAAAAAAAATTCAGTTCTACGTTAGGAGCTTATTCATACCATGTCCATTGCGCTCCGCTATTCTGCACGAAGCAATGTAGGGTTAACCCAAGAGTACATAGAATGTATGGTGTGAACAAGGCACAGAATGTGTGGAGGTGTGAAGTGTAATGCTGCATTCATCTGTATGCAGCACAATTCACCACACCGCTTGTCAATATGCTGCAGCACGTCAATGTGCCATAGTGCATAGAGTTGCATGAAAAGTCATTTTGTGACCCTTCAATAAAGTAAACAATGGGATGTGGTGTAACATCTGCCCTATATAACACCAGAATGCATGTGCAAATGAGCCCTACAGTATACCAAGACACTTTTAATTATGACTGAATAGGGCTGGGAAGATTTAGAACCCCCGTCATGTTTAATTGCTCCCTTACATGAAACTCTCCATCGCCATTTCCCCTGGTGACCACTACCACCAGAACAAAGCAGTGGGAAAGACAAGAAAAAAAAAAAAAAAAAAAAAGTCCCTTAAAAACAGGAAGGAGGAACTCCACCCCCCAAAAACAGAGGAAGAATCCCATCAGGAAACCACAATAAAACCTGAGGAGTTTTGACCACTCCCTACACCATCCTAAAGGTGGCCATACACTTTACAACCATCGCAAGACTTGCGATGGTTGTAAAGTAATTTAAAAAAAAAAAGTACGATCTGCCCATCTTAGACAGGCAGATCGTACTTGCGATGACCGCAATGCTCAACGGGCACCGGCGTGTTGAGCATTTGTCTCCCAAGCATGCCACAAACCAGCCAAAAATAGTAAGATTTTGGGCTGGTTTTCAAACATGCTCCTTAGACAAAAGACTTGGGACCGTACAGTAAAAACAGTCGCACGCCTCCCATACACTTTGCGATTATTGTGCAATAAGCGCACAGTGTATGAGCACCTAAAGTTTCAGCTTAAGTGCAGTCAATAGAAACTCCTACTACATGTTGACGCTTCCATACCTACATTTTTTTTCATATTGACCTTTTAGCTGTTTCTTTAGAGCAGGTTTATACATAAATTAGAGAAAGCTACGTTTCTTTAGAATAAATGTCAATGTGAAGATAAGGACATTTCTTTTAAAAGTGCATTACAAAAGATACATTTTTGGTAATACTTAAGGCACATGAATGTATTTAAGATTTAACTCCCAAGTTTAGTGTCACTTAACTTAGAATGCACTACTCAGCCTCCTGCTGACCATACACTGCTTGAATTCCTGCCAAAGTTTGAGCATTGCCTGCTCCGCAAGTGATAGTTTTTATATGTTAAAGATCTGATTTGAAGATTCTTGGCTTAACAGAACATTAATACAACAGAGCCACTGCTGAATACTATAGCCAGCAGCAGGGATTCCATTATGCAAACTTGTACCAAAATGTGAAATGGGAGTTATCAGTTTTTTCTGGGAGAGTGGAGATCAAGGGAAACAAATTCTCCCCTTGCAGTGGGGGTACCCCCGGGGACCAGTGTAAAACACTTACCCGATGCCTGCTCTGGGTGTCTACAAGACTAGCACCCATGCCTTCCCTTCCCCCCAGGTCAGAGGCCCATTGATACATACAATACAAACCATATCCTAGACTGACAAGAGGACACAGATATTCAGGGATCCAGATCATAGACTAGAGAGGTGAACACTGACTTCCAGGGGGAGCAGGTAAAAAAAATAAAAAAAATAGTCCTTTATACAGCTCCCCCAGGCATTAAGCAGTTAACCCTTGCAGTGCAAGGGGAGAATTTTCACTATACCAGATATAGGATTTAAGCTAACTCTTTAAATCATAAGCCAGTATAATAGTCCTAGAGGTTTTGCCATCACTGAGAAAAATGGGACATCAAATCGTGATTAGATGTCAGCTAATGATGTAGTGAGGTCTGTGTGGCCATCTGCATACAGACCAATGCACACACGGAGTAAACAAGTACACGGCCAGGACAGCTGAGTCATCAGGAGCAGGGAGGAGAGCACAAGACAACAGGATGGAACACTAATCAAGGAGGAATGGACAATGCCCAGGGGCCACACACAGCACAGATCGCCGTATTCGCTCATCCACTACAGTATACAGGGTGCAAAGAAGCGAGTTATAACGCTATGGGACTATTAGAACCCCTCACAAACAATAAACATCCACACATTCCTTCGGCGCAGCGCCCCTCCTCCATCCCTAGGGGCCCCCTTCCCCTCCGCCATTCTCCCACATAACCTACCACAGATGATCACCAGCTGGAATATGCAGACATCACCGGCCACCGGCGCGTTTATATACACAACTTGTGGCCCTGCCTACAAAGCAGACACGCGGTCTTCTATTGGCTGAACCCTGGGAATGGGGCGGGCTTACCCAGCGGCTCATGTGACTACCTAGCGCGTGACTCTGTGTGTTGTGTTATGTAGCTGAGTGGGCGTGGCCTGTACAGTCAGGGCGTAATAGGTGAATGTGGTGGGGGTAGTAGGTGAGAGGACATGTGTCCTCGTGCTGGGTGTATGGGAGGATATATGACCCATTGTGGACACACGGTTTTAGCGGGGTTTAGTTGGTTTTGAACAAGTGTAATATTCATTCAGATTGTTACTAACAGTGTAATAAAAGGTAACATGTTTATTATTGATATGCATTGACCAGGGGATGTGTTCATTTTCTTAGCCAAGCGCCTAGTAGCTGTTCCGCAGCACTTAAGGTCGCTGAAGCAAATTCATTGAACGATTCAGCTGCACAGTGCAAAGCAAAATGGCGAAGGATACTATTTGTGACTACTAAATACCATTTTTCAATGAATATTTAGTGTGCTCGTCCACCAAAATATTAAATTGTAGTTTCCCATACTGAATATTGATTTCCTCCATCGGGGTTCAGGCACCTTTCTAGCGCTGCCAGGTGTGCCCACAGGTAAAATGGCTGCTGGTGCTCTGTCCCCACCTTCACGCTCAGCGCTCTGCATCCACATTCACTTCTGCTGCGAGCGCTAAGTTAGCAGAGCTGTGCGCTGACTTGCAGCACTGCGTTCAGTGGCGGTTTGCTAAATCGGCAATCGCAGGGGCTGAGCAACTGAACTCGCCTCAGAATATACCAGGGCCTATATGTTAGAACTAGAGAGGCCAGCAGAGGCAATACCCATGGAGGGGATTTATAATAACTGGAGCAGTTTTCATACATTTCCCCCATGGTGATAAATTAGATTTCAGTTTTTATTTCCAGGGTGAGTCAAGAAATCTTATTGCTTGGCAAGATCTCCTTTCTTTGTTCAAGTCAGATCATTCTTTCATCTCATTTT